GAGGCTTATATGCTGTCCTGCCCCCTTTGACCCTCCTGGGGACCCTCCGATATGTCAGAGCAGATTCTATTAATGTAATTAGCCTATTAGATTAAAAAACTTGACCCATCTAATTAACCATTCTAATTAGAATGCTGCAGCATTTTCAGTATCACATATATTCAGCATCCCCACATTTCAAAATCATGGCAGGAGCACTTTAACTAAAGCTTGTTGAACATTTAAAGCTCCCCCACTGCCATTTTAAAGCATGGGATGCCGAATACATGAGATGCTGCAGGTGTTTTAATTAGATTGGCTCCTGAGTGGCTCCACTGTCTTAGCCGCTTAAAGACAAAGAGACAAAAACAAGGTCTCTTGGCCAAAGATATCACAATATCTAAGAATATCTAAACGTCTGGCCCCATGGGATGCACTTGGGTGACACTGAAAAGTTTCCCTTCAGTCATGAGAGCTAATCACTTGCTTCCAGAAAATGGGGTGTTAGATAAAACATCATGTATCAAGAAAAAACTGATAAAACAGTGACTGTCTGCAACACTGCAGCATGAATATTTGTTCAGGAAAACAACCATGCTCATTAGAGTTGTCACATGTAGTGCTATAATTCCATTACATTGCCTCCGAGTTCCTAAATACATGCATAAACTCTGTTATGAGCCAAATGCCTTCCAGCTGGAACCAATTAGATAAGGATTTATTAAAGGGTAATTTTGAATGACAGATTACTGAGTATAATAATCTTCCCAGGAGACAATATAGATCTGGCACAGAAGCTGGGTAATATGTTAATTATCACAATGAGAAACACCTTCCAATTTTTGTCACACTTCAAAGCAGCATGCAGAAATTGATATGACAGACTGTCAAGGCTTTGAAATCATTCAGGGATCTGGACTAAACTTGATACTCTCTAGTAATTTGAAAGGAAATAGAAAAACAAATTGAGGACAACACATGCATTTAACTATGGCCTGTCTTGGCCTGGGGCTTAAGCACTTCCTTTTTCAGTAAGATTTGGGGTATTCAGCACTGACCAGCAGCAAAGTAAAGATTGCCAGGATAAGTAACTACCTTTAGGGCATGTCTACACATCACCCTGGAGCGATGTTGTTACTGCACCGTGCTTTAGTACTTCCTTTTAGTATTTCTAAAAGTACAGTAACTGCCCGTACTGCACCATGCGCACACTGCATGGTTACTTTCTGCCACTACTTTGCTGTAGCATCACGCTAAAATAGGGGAGTATACCACTATGGCAAAGTAACCACCAATCATGTGCAGACTCGCATGATCGCTACGTTACCATAGCATATTGCATGGCAACATAGGGCAGTGACATATGCTACAGTGACAGGGCGGCATGTAGACGCACCCATTCAGAAATGCTTTGCTCCGAGCTATGGGGGCTTGGAGAAACCAGAAATGCCACAGTGGGCACTTCTGGTTTCACTTTATATTACAAGCTGGCATGCTGGTTAGTGGAGCATGCCAGCTTGTAAGATGCCAGATAACAAAACTTTTACTGTAGCATGTTTTTAGTTGCACTTTAATGCACATTAAAACAGGTTAATGTGCATTAAAGCACATGTAGATGTGCCCAATGGGTGCAGACAGAAGTGACAATTTTTACCTAATTTGGCCACAGAAGGCAGTTTATAGCCATGACCAAACACAATTGCATGAGACATTGTCAGATGGAGACATTTCAAAACAGAGCTTTTTCTGTAACTTCTGTCTGCACGGCCTGCCAACCTTGATCTGTTTTCAAAATGGAAGGGGGAGAAAGGGAGTAGAGGGAGTTTGGTCTGGGAGTTTTTCAGCCCCCAGTGGAAGGTGTAGTGGGTATACTGAAGGTCCCCTAAGGTGGTGTTAGCTCCAATTCACCCACCCCACCCTCCAGAGCTGGCTGAGGAACCCTTAGAATGAACTCCCTCTGCTCCCTTTCCCTCCTCCCATTCTGAAATGGGGACAGGCTGGGAGAGAGGAGGGGCCATTGTTTGGGGAAACCAGCTGCAGGGTCACAGCCAGCAACTAGATTCCCCTCCAACCTGAAACCAGCAGTGGACTTCTGTTTGTTCCAAGGGGTTCTTGTAACTCAGAAGGCTTCCTGCAAAACATTCTCAGCTACAGCAGGGAGCTGCGCTTCTGTTTACATCCAAAGTCTATTATGGCAGACAGAGCATGGTACTAGGGATTCAAATTATTCTGTTACTGAAATTAGTAGTAAAGCTCTCACCAGGTGCATCTACATATGCAACTAATGCACATGAATAAACTGTGGAGCAAACTGCCCTGCAGTAAATGACTCCCAGGCACAGCAACCACACATGTACCTAGGTCAGGAACAAATTGTGCTGGGGAGGAACAGTTTAGGCTAGAGCTGCTCCTGTCCTGCTCCGCCTCCCTGCACTAGCCAAAGGGAACACCAGGCTTCGGTTGCAGCTTGGGTGCCAGCCCCAGGCTGGTAGGGGGCTCTGGGGTCAGCCCTGAGCTTGCAGGGGGCACCGAGAGGGGAGTAGTCCCAGATTCCAGGTAGCTCTGTTGGGTGGCAGAGAAGCTGCCCATGCTATGAGGCTCCTGAAGATACCTTCCAAGCTATGTGACTCAGCAACAGGAAGGAGTGTGACCCCCTGCTGGCTGTGCTGACTGGGAACGATTTACTCCTGGATCAGCATCTGCACATGCATTGCTTTGCAGTAAATAACCTCCACAGCAGGATAGTACTTATATCTCTAGTAGTGCTACAGAGTTCATTAATGTACTCCAGCTTAAATCAGGGCACACATGTAGACACATGTTGTTTACTGTGAAGCTAATTAGTCTACTGTGCAGTAAATGTATCATGTAGATGAGCCCACTAATCCACTAACACCAAGATTTCTCCTTTAGTTTGCAAAGTGAGGGATGGAGCTCAGCTGCCTTTACAGAAAGGAAATCTCAGGAAGTTGTGTTTCTCACAGCAGCACCAGAGAAACATTGGTACCAGCAGTGCACTGGTACTGAGCACTCTTGCACTACCCCAGGCACTGGAGAGTCTAGCCACATCCTTAGGCATTGCACCATGATGAAGATGCAGGTGCACGGAGGGGCGGGCAAACATGCAGGGAGGCTGCTCCATGCATTGTAATTACAGCACATTGGAGCAGACTCAATTAATTGAGTCTGCTGGAGCATGGTAATTACCACACTCCAGCACACTCCAGGGTCATGTCTATCAGCATCCCTGTGCTTAAAATGGTGGCAGGGATGCTTTAACTAAAGCTCATTTGATTCAGGGATGCTGATACATGACGCTCTGGGCACTTTAATTAGAGCAATTCTCACTAAGCATACTTGATAGAGTGGGAACTCTTACTCTTTTTGCTTGTTTTGAGCATGCT